CTGTCCTATAACTTATCAGAGCACTTCCATCCCATGTGCGCTGAATTTCACACCTCTATCAAATCCAAGAAAGCTGAGAGACCGAGTCTCCTGAAACTGACAGAAGAGAAACATTGAGATGAGCATCATCATCATTGCCTTCAGCCTGACTTCAGACTAACACAGCTAACTACCTCTCTCTGCTCATTGATATAAAAGGCAAAGATTTTTTGTGATATATTTTACTGGACCAATGGTATAGTTGAAAGAACTGTTGGACAAGCTTTTCGGTATCAAATGTCTTTCCTCAAGCACTTTATACCAAAAAGCTAGACCAACAGCTCTCCCAACTATACAAGTTGTTCCAGTAAAAGATACACAAAAATCCTCATCTATCATACACTTTTTTTTTTGACTGCTGCAGCTAGAACAACACACCAATCCCATACTACTACTATCACCACTGATGGCACTGTACCCAAACTGCCTTGCAATCTCCTCTAACAGCTTCAAATGCACTCAATAGAAGGGACAATTTAACTGAATCTTACATAAAAAGTGTGTCAAGACAGAAGATCCAATGACCGTTATTGAGACTCACCTTCTATCGCAGACTAAGATCAAAACAAGGTCTGTGCTTAATAGTCAAAGATGTCTAAAGCAGTTCATACATCCAAAATTTCTTTTCATGACGAAGACCACCAATGGAACTTTATTAGAGCTAGTTTCTTATCAAATATCCAATCTAAAACCTGTTTGAAAGGTTTCCAGAAAATTTGTGAACTTCAGGTATTGCCAGAATTAGTTCACTTGCCTGCTTGCCTAGACAAATGAAATAACAGACAGAACCAAAAATGGACTTGCCATTTTAATTTTTTGAGTTATACAATGGAAAAATATCAAAATAGCACAGGAAGAACTCAAAACTCTTCTCAGTTGCACCTTGCAAAGATCAAGCCCTACATTTTCAAAACAAAGTGATATTGCAAACCACAAAGCCTCCATTAAGGTGTACAGGAACCAGGTGGTTAATTCCCAATCTACAATTTCTGAAATCTAACTTGTTTCAGAACAACTTATTTTTAAGTCTCCATTACAAAAAACAAAACACAAAAATATTCCTATAACTAACTGGAACATGGCCTGGTAGAATGTTACATGTTCAACCTGGATTTGCTATCTACTTGCATTTCAAAGTACTGTTGATAGTACTTTGGTGTTTAATAGCCTGGCAGTGTTTGCCTGAAAATTTCATTGCGTAGGCAGATGCT